CCGTTTAACTCCTGTCTCAATCTAACCTAGTGGGTTCAAAAAGAAGGGACCGCGCTGGAAACATAAGACTTTTAAAGACGTCTTTTCGACGTCTTTTTTCTCACTAGGTCTTTCTTCCAGATCCTTTTGCTTGTTCGATAGATAGAGAGCTCTTGTATTGTTTTATGACCATATAAACAATAGTTTTACTAGATTCAGATCATTTAGCGATTGATAGTAACGATGCAGAAGGATTTTGTAGATAGTTGTGCAGAATTTTTTCCGTTTTTCTAAATGTTTCAATGACATTTTATTTAAGAGAAACATTTTGACTTGTTTGTTGATATTTTTAATTAATTATGTAAAAAAAAATTTAGTCATGTGTTAGTGACAAGTTTTAAAACAAAATTCATTGTTTCAAATTTAACGATCTCATGCTTTAGTAAGATAAGAATAAACTTTGATACTTAAATCGCGCATCAAATATTTAAAATCATAGTATTAGTTAAATATTTAAAATCATAGTATTAAAGTATAATATCAAGCAATTTATGCAATACTGTAATGTTTTCATAAATAATTTTTTAATAAAGCATATTAAGAAATACTATTAAAGGATAGTATTTTGTTGAGCACAAAATTGGTAAAATCAACGACCTCTTTTTAAGCGTAAATTTAGAACTACAAAAACTTAACGCATTGGTTCAGAGCTAATAAGTTGTCATTAAATTCAAATAAAACCAAGTACATTTTATTTCAACTCACCAATAAAAAAAAACATTACCATCAACCTTACCTGCTTTGACATAGACAACTCAATTATTGAAAGAACTCATTCATCTAAATTTCTTGATGAGCACTTATCTTGGAATTCTCAAATAAACGCTATTAATACAAAAATATCTAAAAACAATGGTCTACTTTTTAAAGCAAGATATTTTCTGTCTTACGATATTTCAAAATTACTTTAATTTTCATTTACACACTGCTATCTATCATACGCCAATATTGCATGGGCTAGTACCCATAAAAGTAAGCTGATTTCCATACATCGACGACAGAAACATGCTTCTAGAATGATATTTTATAAAGATAAGCTTACTCATGCAAGTCCATTACTTAAATAGATGAATGCTTTAAACATTTACCAAATCAACATATATCAAAATATATTGTTTTTGTTTAAAAATAGAATGGGAATCGTCCCAAGTCGATTCAAAAATAACTTTTTTAATACTAATATAAATAAATTTAGTACTAGAGCAACTGGAAACTATATTGTGTTTATGAAAAAATAAAAACTCTCCCAATTTTCTGCAATTTATTGTGGTCCTTACTTATATAACAAATTAATTTCCAAAATATTCACCAGTATTTCTTGTAGAAAATATTAATTTCTTAAAAACCAAATTAAAAAAACTTATTCTAGAAATAAATAATTACATGGAAATATTCAAATTTATTACGAATAATTAGAAAAATAATAATGTAAAAAAAAAAACAAAAAAAAAAAAACAACAGAAAAAACTTAAAAAAAAAGTAAACTTAATTTGTTAATAGTATTTATAATAATAATATAGTATTTCATGAAATTAATAATAAGGGTTCTCAATGACAAGACTTACACAGTTTTCTGCGAGTTTCCCCCTGACTACAAAATTTAAGCTAACTTATTTTTATCCCGTTTCTTTTTCACAATACAGTTAGTAATATTACTTAAATTTTCATACCTCAAATATATCTCAATATTTGAGGTAAGTATTTTGATGTCTCTAGTTATATAAGAAGTATTTTTTTGAATGTATTTGTTGTTATGTATTGTAAAAACTTGTAAATACTATGTAGTCTTAAAAATATATGAATTAAAAAAAAAAAAAAAAAAAATTTCTTTTTTATTACGTTTTGGCAATTAAAAAAAAATACAAACATTTTATTCATTTAAAAAAAAAAACACGAGAGCCGAGAGCCGCTCGATTTTTGCGGCTTCGGCTCCACCAAAAAACAGCGGCTCCCCCGCTTCACGGCTCCGGCTCGGCTCCTCAAGCCTGAGTAGGATACTACAGCCTAAATATTAATTGGTAAATTTTTGGAGAAAACTTGAGGTTGATGGTTTGTGTAATTAGTTGTTTAATTTATTTTAATGTAACTATGTAATTGTTTATGTTTATGTAACCATGTGATCTTTATGCTTATTTATTTATTGACTCTCTTCGTCACCCAAAATACAGGTTAAAGAAACAAAGTGTATAATAATATATAAATATACCTATATAAAATAGTTAGTTTATGCAATTAAGTTTATTAGTCTGAAGTCTAATTATTAGTCTGAAGTCTAATTTAGATTTTTTTTGGTATACCTTTTTTCATTAAGTTTTTAAATATGATTCTTTGTTTTCTGATATTCCATAATATAACTTATAGACTAATTAATTTGATTCTTTGTTTTCTGATATTCCAGAATATAACTTATAGACTAAATAATAACCATGTTTAGATTATGAGATGAGCAATGCATATACAGGGGTAGTAGTTATCAAATCTTTAAATAATTTTTTAACTCAACCTTTTTCTCCGCTTATTACTTTCGCGCCATCATAGCATTGGACTTGCTTCTTCTTCAGATAGCATTTATATCATAGAACTTGCTTTTTTTTCTTGCATAGTCAGCCAATCACTCGCCGGTTCTGTTAATCTTACAACAGTTTTATCTGTTGCACCAAAAAACCCAAGGAATGATTTTTAAGTTACAGTTTTTAGAATTCAAATATATCAAACGTATAACTATAGAGTAACCCTGTAACCCTGACTAAACCTAGCCTTAACCCTGACTATGTAATGTGATCAACTCGGCTATGTTTTGCATAGAACGGACATTTCTACATTTTTGTGATTAAATGACTTTAGACTGCTTTTGACATGTCAAAAATGAGCTTATTTAAAGTTTTAAGAATGAGTTTGTGGAGCGGGCAGGTAAACGTGTAACCTCTCGCAAAATTGGGTCAAATTTAGCTTGCATAGAAACCAAAGCCAAAAAATTTTCTCCTTTACATTCACTCTTTGATATTATTTCACGGTGTCCTCAAAAAGGACTGGTATATAATTGCTGATACATCATTTCTGATACATTATTGCTGGTACATCATTGCTGGTACATCATTGCTGGTATATCAAATTCTTTTTACAAACTTATTAAAGTTTGAAGTTTAAAACACACTAACTTCCCGGCAAACTTTGCTGTAGTGGATTTGGTACTATATACAGTGGACCTATATTGGTATTTTGAGTGGTTTATTAGAGTTTTGCTTATCGGTAACTTAGTGGACCATCTGGCCACTTATAGACCACTTCGTGGTCTATAAGTGGCCAGCCAGTAACTTACCAACATGTGATATAGTGGCTAGTCATTGACTAGCCACTTTCATTGGCTGCCACTTATAGACCACTAAGTAACCGGTGAGAAAAACAACAGTGGACCGTACAAAATGCCTATATTGGTCCACTGAAAACCTGCTGTAAAATGTTTTGAGTTATTTAATAAACAGTTTGAATTTTTAATAAAAAACAATTAAATTGCAATTCAATTAAATCAAATTTTCACTCTAATTTTATTAAAAAAAACAAAAAAGTTTTTTTAATAAAATTAGTCAGGTTAAGTCAAATTTTCCTGTGAAAGGATCTACGGGTTCTTTTGTTGCTTGGGACCCCTTTCACTTGACAACCCTGTAAATATGGTTTCTTTGCCACTGATAAAGCTCTAGTAGCCAAGGGCGTAGTTTGAGTTTTTTTTATACGACTGTAACTGCGACTAACTTGAAAACTTTTTTTAGTATTAACTGCATCCAACTTAAAAAACTTTTTGAGAATTAACTGCATCCAACTTAAAAAACTTAACCAAAAAATTTTTAATGACTCGAATTTTGTCGCGGAAACGTGAATAAGTGCGGGGCATTAAGTTTTGCGGATTCTTAGTCACCATTAAAAAAAAATAGAACGAAAACAAATATATTGCAATAAGCTGGTTCAAAACAAAGCCTTAAAATTTCTTTTATTTAATCAGTCATAATTAAATTATATACAGCTACCCGGAAATTTGTTTATACTTTTTTTTAAAAGTTTGTTTTAAAATGAATTTATTCTTTATAGAATGTTATAAAGATGACAAATAGGTTTTGTTATAATTTTGAACATTATCATCAAGTTTTAAAATACTTTCCTTTGATTTTCATCACTATCTTTTTATATGATTGAGAAACAGAATAATATCTAGTCTTAAAAAAAAAATTAAGGAATTGAAAAAAGGTGTTTCTAGTGGCATAATAATTGTATTTCAACTCTATTTAAGTGGATCAGGATATAATTATTATTTCCTGATCCATAATTAAAAAACAAAATTAAAGAATTGAGAAATGGTGTTTCTAGTGGCATAATAATTGTATTTCAATTCTATTTAAGTGGGTCAGGATATAATTATTATATCCTGATCCACTTAAATAGAATTGAAATACCATTATACATACATATTATAATAATATCTATCATTGACATCAAAATTTGTGCCCAATTTTACAATCATTGTTATATATGTTCCAATAAACTTTGGAACAAAGATATAGTAAATTTTTTTTAATATATCAATATTTGAAACCATGAGCTTTAAACATTTATGCTTAACATCCATGTTTCCACCTCCTTTTTGACAGCAAGTTATAAGATAGATGTATGTACTGAAGGCCCTGGCAGCAGGCTATCTCAGTTTGACGTCAGAGATGTTATCTAAATATGCATTCATAGTTAACTGCTACTGTTTGTTTAGGGCTGCACAGTACTCATGTATTTTACTTATTTTAAGTTTTGCAATACAAAGTTTAATCTAGATTGTTTATAATGATTGTTTAAAGTTTAATGAAAGTATTTATTGTAAAGCTTTTAAGTAAATCTTTAGAACCAAATTTCCAAAATATAAGGATATTTTAACAATTAATATTTTAAAAAACATACTTTATTTTATATAATTATTTTGCTTTTGCTTTTTAGGTGAATAGTTTTTTTTAATGGCTCCCTCAGCAGATGTTAAAAGAATTGCTATCAAGAAAGAAGGATACTTTCCTATTTTGTATCATTTATACCCTGTAAGTAATAATTTTTTTTGGTTTATACTCACAATTTTGTTATTGTTGTTGATCTTATTTTAATTATTTTTCTGTATTTTTTTAGAATAATATTTTTTAGAGTTTAAAACCTATGGTTTTATATTTGTGTGATTTGGACAGGTTTCCATAATGTCATTAATTAATGTTTTTTTTTTTTTCAAGGTTTAATGCTTGTTTCTACATAACTGGGGTTTGGACAGGGGTCAGCAATGTCATTATTTGTTAGATGAAATGGATTTGCTAAAATTGATTTTTTACAACTCAATTCTCATTTCAGACTTTACACATTTTGCAGACCATGAATTTTGAACATTATACTACCATCAAGAAATAAAAAATAATAAAAAAGAGGAGTTAAAGAGGAGATTTTATAATATTTTTAACTTTTTAGAGGATAATAGAGGATTTTAGAGGAGGTTTTTGAAAAAAAAAGGCTTTAAAGGAATTTAGAGGAGCTATGGCCACCCTTTATATATATATATATATATATATATATATATATATATATATATATATATATATATATATATATATAATATATATATATAATATATATATATATATATATATATATATATATATATATATATATATATATATATATATATATATATATATATATATATATATATATATATATATATATATATATATATATATATATATATATATATATTGATATATATACATATATATATATATATAAATATATATATATATATAATATATATATATAATATATATATATATATATATATATATATATATATATATATATATATATATTGATATATATACATATATATATATATATAAATATATATATATTTATATATATAATATATATATATATATATCCCTTTACTTCACCAAATCAAACCAAAAATAAAAAAAATTATTAAATGTTTTTTTTTTTACTTCTATAGTATACTATTTCATGTCCAAAAAAAATATTTATACTTTTATGATTTATTTAAAAGATATGGACATGTTGTTGTACAACAACATTGCGAAAATTAGGTATAAAAACAACACAAATTTTAAAGTAATTTTTGGAATAAAATCATGTTAAAAACAAATAGACATTAATGTAAATATTAATGTATATTGAAAGATATTTAAATTCCCATTCAAATGTTAAAAACTCTAGCTGTGGAAACTATAAAAACAATTGCAAGAGGTAACCAAACACAAGTGGACTTTACATTTTTCACAAAAAATACGACTATACCCAGACTTGCAATGTTTGCATCGTTGCTGTTTTTCAGAAAAGTTAGGCAAGTGACCAACATTGTCTAAGCAGATTTCCTTAGCTGGAGCATTTACTGCGCAGCGTTTTTTTTTTTACAACAGGTGTATAACTTCTTGGTCTGCCTCGAGAAACTTTTTTTTCTCTTAATAAAGAGTCTGCGATGCGTGTTTGGAACTCTAATAGTTGAATTATGTTTTTCCTGGTATATCCATTTTGTTTACAATGCCTTTTATATAAAATCCAACCATTCACTATTGCTACATTGATACAATAATAAATTATATGCATATACCATTTTTTTGTACCTAGCTTAATTCTATACAATGCCATCAACATATCACATAGTCAACCCCACCCATATGCTTATTATACTGATGTATCATATCTGGGCAAGACACTTTTACAACAACTTTGTCTTTGCTAGACCAGCGATTAGTTGAATCTCCTAATAATGGACCAATAAATGTAGATGCTAGTTGTACCACTCCATTATCCATCCAACGTATAACTGTTATGTTAGAATTAAAATCGACCCGGTAATCTAATGAGCCACGTCCCATTTTTTCTAGTTCTTTTTTTTTAAAAATTTCTTTTTCAGCACCATGCAAGCGGTTATTACGAATGGTTCCAACAGCCCATATTCCAAGATCCTTAAGAGTGGTAAACAATTTTATGCTTGTAAAAAGATTATCCATGAAGATTTTATGTCCAATATTTTTTGGCAAATGTGTAACGAGTTTAAGCACAGCTGCTCCAACTTTACCATATTCTTTAGAAATATCAGTATTTTCTTCCTTGCCAAGATAGATAGTAAAATCATAAAGCAATCCGCTGACTCCACATCGTGCCCAGACTTTTATGCCCCATTTGTGTGGCTTCTTTGGAAGATATTGTCTGATCGGACACATTGATTTTGTGGGAATAATTTGCTCATCAATAGACTGACATCCTTCTTGTTCTACTAACCTGCACATATCAAGAACAGATTGCACAATTGGTCTAACTTTGTACAAATGATCATATTCTGCTGTGCCTTTTTTTGGCATGTGTGTGTTATCATTTACATGAAAATATTTTTTTAATAACTCAAATCGTTTTAAAGCCATAACTTCTGCAATTGATGCACATTTAGTGTGTTGAGACCAATACATTCTATATTGTGGATATTTTAGCACGCCCATAGTAATTAGTATCCCAATAAACTGTTCAATTTCATCACAATTAGTATTAATAGATTTTCCAGTTATTTGCACAGAATATAAGTTTGTCTGATCAGCAATGACTTTGAATAGTGCTGCATTAAAAAATTCATTGAAGTATTGCCTTGGTGACCATTCCAAATGTGGAGTCTTCTCGAATTCTCCACCTTTAAAACTAGAATCAACATTGTGAGATGATTACTTGCGCCAACGATAATCATTTTTACTGCCTCTTCCTACATTTTGTTTGGTTATGACATTCTTTTGTACTATTTTTTGGTTTCCTTTAGATTTACTTTTATGACTATGAATACTCTCATTATCAAAAGCTTCTGTTTCACTTGTTGATTCATTCCTAGATTCACTTTCTGATTCAGTTGATTCATTTTCTGATTCAATAACAAAATCAACTTCATTGTTTGGTTCGCAATAAACTGGTTTAACTATGTCAGTGTTTTCGTCATAACTTTCAGATTCACTTTCGGAAAATTCACTTAATTCTGGGTCAGGAAGATAAATAACATTGACAATTCCTTGTTCACCATTATCAGTTTTAAATCTTTTTTTATTATAAAAATTATTGACCCTTATACAAGTCATCTAAAATCATAAAATTTGATATTTATACTATAAAAATATAAATTCTATGTGAATATATATTTATATATATAAATAAATAAATATATATATATATATATATATATATATATATATATATATATATATATATATATATATATATTTATATATATATATATATATATATTTTTTTTTTTTAATTTATATATATATATATATATATATATATATTTTAATTTATTTATATATATATATATATATATATATATATATATATATATATATATATATATATATATATATATATATATATATATATATTTAACAACATTGCGTAGATAATCTACGCAATGTTGTTGTACAACAACAAAGTAACTTTAATCATTTTTACTCATGAAAATTGTTATTTAAAATAAATTAAGTGTGAAATTAAAATAATAATAAATAATTTATATTATTTTATTTTTCTTATACTTTCTAGACAAAAATATATACGTAAATGCAAACACAGAATTTCAGAATTATACAAACGGCGTCACTACTACAGTTTTTCATCTTGCATAACATTATTACATGCAAAAAATAGTCCTTCAGAGCAGGAAAATAATTTAAATTTAAAGACTTATATGTCATTGTTGATTCTGTACAGTCTGCAAATTCAATGTTATCTTAATTTGGTTTATTTTAAAAAAATTTCTACTGTTGTTGTGCAACAACACCGCAGTAAAGGGATATATATATATATATATATATATATATATATATATATATATATATATATGTATATATATGTATATATATGTATATATATATATATATATATATATATATATATATATATATATATATATATATATATATATATATATATTTATATTTATTAAGGTGCTCTAGAAATGTATAGTGAAAAAATATTTTCCTCAAAATCTTGCTCCCTGTTCATTTTCCCATTCCTTTATCTATTTTAGAATAAGTAAACAAATTTCAAGCAATTTAATAGTCTTTAAGCCTTGCCACCAGCTCCCAAAATATTAATAGTTTGAAATTTTTTTAACGTAAATTTATGATATGTTATATTTACATTACATAACATTACGTTACGTAAATTTGACACAAATTTTTGGCAATTATTACATAAATGAAACAAAATAATTATAATATGAATATAATATAATTTAATAAATAATTAATTTATAAATAAAGCATATAAATAATAATTTTTAATTGATAATTAAATAATATATTATCCTTTAATTATCTGTTTTTATAATATCTTTCTTAAAATCACTTTTTTACTTGGACGCTACTCATCGCTTTAACCCAATTAAAGATAGACCGGTTTTAAAAACAGACATTGATATCTGGTTATTAGGAAAACCATTAACTCAATTGTTACCATCAAGAATTCCATCAAAGGGAGATGTCCTGCGTTTCTTTTTCTTTATAAAAGATGGACCCATGAAACATGCTAAACATGTCAATTGTAATGGTGCTATAGTAAACACGGTTATTGCAGAAATTCAAAATCAATAGGATAAAGGTGGAATTGCAGTTCAATGCAAAATAGAAACTGATCGACTTCGTGATAGTGAGCAGAAAAAAGAAGATATTGAATTTCTTATGGCAGTTAGAGATCAGAAGCAAGTTATTTTGGGATCAGAAGACAGAGCTTACAAAAGGAAAACTACACAGAAAATACAGAGAGAGAGAATTGAAATGACAAAAAGAATGGTTGAAGAAAAAAGAAGACAAAATCTTTCAGGAACAACAAGTACAAAACCCGAAACTATACATCCTGAAGTAAACTTGCAATCTGCAGATGACTCTAGTGTCACAGTTACAAGCAGTTCAGACAATTCTAAAGATGAAGATTTTGAAAACCCACATAAATCTGCTATGAAACCAAAAAATATTCAACCTGATAAAAACAGAGTATTTACACTGGCTCT